AATAAGTATAAATATCAGGGTTATATTATATACAGCATTTAGTAGATGATAGCAAATAACCAAGCACTGAGAAACTCACTGTGAACATTATTAGGTGGTATTTAAATAACCAAACATTCAGATCTCCCAGGCAGGTAAACTGCACTACACAGATTCGCACTTCCAGATGCAATTTAAATACTTATTAGCTTCTAAAACTAATTATTTCTTACAACACCACTCATATTTGCGTAAAATATCCTAGGCGCATAAGCTTAGTAATAATATTCATTTTACTTGTAAGAATGACTCGCTGTTAGCAGCAGACGGGGCCATGAACACACACATGAAAATAGCCACAAACAAGACTGACTGATTAGGCAGTAACTGCTTCTCCCCTAGTGCTCTTGTACTGATTTTGGAAATGAAGACTTAGCCTTTGGCTCTGCATGTCATCAGTTTCTGCTCTTGCTTTACCCTTGGCATGAGTGGATTCCTCCGAATCAGTAACGTCTCTACGTTGACTATTATGCTTTAATTCTTGCAGGACAATTTTAATTTTTTTCTGATTTTTCTTGATTTCTCGACTACTTTTTCTCAGAGTTTGGATTTTAAAAATGTATATATTTTTGAGAAATGCTGGGAAGGAATCTCACATCAGCACTTTACTTCCACCAATGTGTCTGACCCTTCATTCACCTGTTAAACAATCAGAACAGAGATGAAGAACCCTAGTGTCACAACATACCTGTGATGCTTTTGTAGTGTATTCTGGCTTCAAGATGCTTATTATTTAGTAGTGGGGGACATATTTTCAAATAATTACACTGCCTGATAAAATTTATTTTAATAAAATTCCAATGAGAGAGACATAGAAAGAGAATATCAGCAGAGGGAGAGGTTACTTTCTTGGAAAATATTTCTCTGTAAGACAGTTAACACTAAGGACACATTCACATACCCAAATGGCTGGATGAAGGGAATGAGCAGGGTTATGAAAGTAGCAGAATTTTGAAAGAAGTGATGAACCTGCAGGGGAGGAAAGCTAAGCTACTCTTGCGAGTTCTGTCTTCCACTTATGCTACCAAGAGGCTACCTTGATATGAGGGGATCATCTCATATCATGATTAACATTTCTGTCCCATCATCTGACTCGTGGTGTACTGTTATTTCATTCAATATTCTCATTCCAGAATGTAACAAGTTCAATGAAAGACTCATATAAAGGAATAATTTTTCAGTAATTAAAAGGAGCTCTCCCGTGTACATTGAAGCATTTCTTCACAATAGCTATGACGTAAGATTAACCTAAGTGTTCACCAGTAGAAGAATAGATGAGGAAAATGAAATACTACTTAGCCTTAAAAAAGAAGGAAAAATCTTGTCATTTGTGACAACATGGATGAATCTGGAGGATATCACATTAATTGAAATAAGACAGTCACAGAAAGACAAATACTGCAGAATCTCACTTATATGTGGAATGTAAAAAGGTTGAACTAACAGAAACAGAGTGAAGAAATGGTTACCAGAGGCTTGGGGTGACAGGATTGGGGAGATGTTGGCCAAATGACATAAAATATTAGTTAGACAGCAGAAATAAGTTCAAGAGATCTACTGTACATCATGCTGTCTACAGTTAATTATACCTTATTGTGTATTTGAAAATGGCTGAGAATAGATTTTAAGTATTCTCACCACAAAAATAATGTGTCTGGAATAATTCATATGTTAAATAGCTTTATTTAGCCATTTGACAATGCCTACATATATTAAAACATGTTGTATGCCATAAATATATGCATTTTTTACTTGTCAACTAAAACATAAAAAAAGAAAAAATAAGAAAGGGGAACTCACTCTATTCATCTAGAATATGTATAGGAAGGTAACTGGCAGAACCCAATAATTCATTTTGAAAGGTTTAACCAACCCTCTTTTCAAATGTAACATTTTACTCTCTTCTTTTGAGTTCCAGGTTAATTTTATGAATGACTTGTGACATTAAATAAAGAATGAAAGAAGGTATGGAAATTCAGTTTCAAACTTCCATTTGGTTGGCATTTCAGACAGCACCTAGCACAATGTATACAAATAATTGATTCATTATGTTCTGATGTGACTTGACCTGGATAGGTTGACATGCAATCTGCTAACCAGAGAGTTTATTTTCTTCTCTAGCATTTACAGTGGTCTTCCCTACTTCCCCCCATCTGCAGTTTTGCTTTCCAGTTTCAGTTGCAGTCTGAAAATATTAAATAGAAAATTTCAGAAATAATCAATTCATAAGTTTAAAATTGTCTGACATTCTGAGTAGTGTGACAAAATCTCTTGTCGTCTTATTCTGTCCTGTCTGGGATGTGAATTATCTCTCTGCCCAGCGTATCCACACTGTATAACATTTTATGCTTCTGAACTCCAACCGTGGACATCGTCATAGCTTGATGATCCAAGATCACCCCAAGCAGATGATCCTTTTTCTGGCCATCAGAAAGTCAATAGTAGCCAGATGTTGTGTTATAATGCCTGTGTCATTTACCTCATTTCATCTAATCACATAGGCATTATATCATCTCACATCATTATGAAAAGAAGACGGAGGAGTACTATACATTAAGATATTTTGAGAGAGACCACATTGACATAACTTGTATTATAGTATGTTGTTATAATTGTCCTATTTTATTGTTGCTGTTGTTAATCTCTTACTACAGCTAACGTATAAGCTAAATTTTATTGTAAGTATGTATGTGTAGGAAGAAAACATAGTATGCATAGGATTTGATACTATCTATGGTTTCAGACATCCTCCAGGGGTCTTGGAAGTATTCCCTTTGGATAAGGGAATACTTAGAAGCTGTATTAGTCCATTCTTATGCAGCCATAAATATACTACCTGAGACTGGGTAATTTATAAACAAAAGAGGTTTAATTGAATCACAGTTCCACGTGGCTGAGGAGACCCCAGGAAACTTACAATCATGGTGGAAGGTGAAGGGAAAGCAAAGCACGTGTTACATTGCTGCAGGCAAGAGAGGGTGCACAGGGGAAACCACCACTTTTAAAATCATCAGATCCGGTGAGAACTCCCTCATTACCATGATAACAGCATGGGGGAAACTGCCTCCATGATCCAATCACCTCCCACCAGTTCCCTGTCCCCTACACATAGGGATTACAATTCGAGATGAGATTTGGGTGGGGACACAGAGCCAAACCATATCAAAAGCAAGGCATTTCTAATGTATTGTTAAATCCAATGACTGTCCCCAGAACACGTAACACTTTATAGTTCTTCTCCTTATCATCATGTGAAATCAGGTGAAAAATTAGGAGTTCCAAAAGCAATTTCAACGGGAAAAAGATGTACCCCCCCATACCAAAATAGTCCCAATCTAGAAAAAATATAAAAAGTGGATCTGAACTATGATGATGGGAGGTTTATATGCCAACTAAATCTACGTAAACCTCAGATTCCTTCTAGAAATTATATTTCTGATTATAAGAGGAACACAGTCTTATTTCGGAAATCAGGGAAAGTAATAAAGAGGAAAACTAGAAAATTCATAATTCTACATCACAGAAAACAACTGTTAACTTTTTGGTGTGTTTCTATTCCTCATTATGCATGTATATATTTTTATAAAATTGGGCTCTTATTGTAAATAAGGCTTGAATCTTGATTTTATTACTTACAGGTATAATGATAAACATTGCCCTTTATTACTAAATATTAATGATTTTAGTATGCTGTGCTTCTGTATCCAACATTGTTGGAAATTCGATTTTAATCACTTTTCATGCTATAAATGTAAGAAACACCCTTATATTTTGTTTTGTTTGACATTCTGTTAATTTTGTGAGGTTATGTTTTTAGAATAAGAATTCTGAAATTAAAGAATAGAAACTTCATGGGTTTTGGTAAACGTAACCATATAGGATTCAAAAAGATTATAACAATTTCTTTTTTCTTTTCTTTTTTATTTTATTTTTTGAGTTGGAGTCTTACTCTGTTGCCAGGCTGGAGTGCTGTGGTGCAATCTTGGCTCACTGCAACCTATGACTCTGGTTCAAGCGATTCTCCTGCCTCAGCCTCCCAACTAGCTGGGATTATAGGCAGGTGCCACCATGCTCAGATAATTTTTGTATTTTTAGTAGAGACAGGATTTCACTATGTTGGCCAGGATGGTCTCGAACTCCTGACCTCGTAATCTGCCTGCCTTGGCCTCCCAAAGTGCTGGGATTACAGGTGTGAGCCACCGTGCCCCGCCAGGTTATAACAATTTCTTAGGTCAGTTTAATATCCACTGGCAGATATTTTCACTCTCTTCCTGTAGCTGCTAATTAAAATCAGCTTATGATCTGGATCTAGACTCTCACCTGATAGATTGCACCCTCCCCCCAGCTGTTATGGGAGAGGTAATTGCTTATAAGAACTATCCGTGGAGTCCTCTGGACCTTGCTGTTCCTCAGGGTGTAAATGAGAAGGTTGAGCAGTGTGGTGTCCACTGTGAATACCATAAAGGGAAGTGGATTTTACTTGAGGGTTTATTTGGGTAACAGCCATTCTGCTGCAAAATTATGCTGAGGTAGGAATAGTGCCATAGTAGTGCCACCTGCTCAGTGGATCTGTGACCAGCAGCCCTCATGAAGATGTAGGAGGTGGTGAGGAAGGTGGAACAGCAAAGACTAGTGTGAGAGCCACCAGCACAGAGGGCTCATGCGGGCAGGGCTGCCATAGACCAGATGTAATTCTCCATACCCTAGCAAGGCTGGTACATAGTAGGTGATTATCAATGGAAGAAAATTCCTAGCCCCTTTCTGGCATGAAGAAAATGAAAGCAGCCAGTTGGGATGTATGGCACAAAGGAAATTAATGCATTAAGTAATCTGTTGTTTGTCATATACTGATACCCAAAACAATAATAAGCTGTGTTTATTTGAGCAAAATATGTCTTTATGAATATTCCTTACTTGAGGCAACGTTCACAGGGTAAATTGCATCATCTCCTCAGGAGGCAGCAAGTCTATCAGCCTTTATTCATAGTACGTATGGGGTGTTCCTAATACAGCACTTGACATGGGTGAGCTGCAAATCCTTAAAGTAGAGCTAAGTAAACTAACATTCCTACACTGTAAGTTCTGCCCAAATTTTCGTATCTTAGTCAAAGCACTCAGAAAAATAAGCATGAATTGTTGAACTTGGGGCAAATATGGCAAAAAAGAAACATCAAGTGCAAAGTGTGGGAAAGTACTACAATTCTGTGTCATTTAGAGTTCATCGACATAGCAACAGACAGACACCCAGCCCAGTGCCCCTAAACCTTCAGTTGGCATCAGAGGCTGCTTTATGGATAATGGCATTCCTCAGAGCATCTTTGACATCCTTGTTCCTAAGGGTGTAAATCAAAGGGTTGAGTAAGGGGGTGACAAAGGTGTAGACCAATGCGATTTGGCGGTCCTCATCCTCTGAGGTGCTGGACCGAGGACGCAGGTACACGAGGCTGCAGCAGCCATACTGCAGCAGGACCACGGTGAGGTGGGAGGAGCAGGTGGAGAAGGCCCGGCGGCGGCCCTCGGCAGAACGGATGCACAGGATGGCGCAGGTGATGAACACGTAGGAGACGCAGATGAGCAGGAAGGGGATGGTCAGCACGAGGATGCCCACTACATAGAGGACAGCCTGGTGCACGTGGATGTCAGCGCAGGCCAGGCGCAGGACGGGAGGCACATCGCAGAGGAAGTGGTTGATTTCCTGGCGGTGGCCGCAGAAGGGCAGGGTGAAGATTAAGGCGGTGAGCTGCAGGGAGAGGAAGAGGGCCAGGCCTAGGGCCCCGACCAGCATCTGCGCGCACAGCTTGCGGGTCATGATGAGGGTGTAGTGCAGCGGGTGGCAGATGGCCACATAGCGGTCATAGGCCATGATCGCCAAGAGAAAACAGTCCGTGCTGCCGAGGGTGACAAAGAAGAACATTTGGGCCCCACATCCAGCCAACGAAATGGTCTTCTGGGCCCCAAAAATGTTGGAAAGCATCAAGGGTACTACCGCGGTGGTGTAGCAGATTTCCAGGAAAGATAGGTTGGACAGGAAGAAATACATCGGGGTGCGGAGGGTGCTGCGTGTGCACACCACCCAGATGATGGCTGTGTTGCCACAGAGGATCATCAAGTAGAGGAGGAGGAAGAGAAGGAAGAGAAGAACCTGGAATTCAGTGGCTGTAGTGAACACACGGAACACAAACTCAGCGCGGTCAGACTGGTTGAAGACAAGTTTCCCCACAAGCATGTCTTGTGCAAAAGGACAGGATGCACTGAGCTCTTCTTGGCTGAGTTGCTTTATTGCTTGAGTAAAAGCAGGAGTGTACAATTTTATTTGGAATTATCTATTTAGTAGCTAGTTTCCAATCATGGTGCATGGGAATGAATTCATGATAGAGGGTTTGGTATACTTTACCTTGGAAATCTTCATGAATGGGATAGACAGTCATCTGCAGAAGTTCCTGGGGGCAAGACATGTAGACACATGTAGATGTTCCTTGTGAAATATCTTCCCCCGCCCAGATATTTTCAATCCAATTGACAAGATTTAATTATTTTGCTTGTATCTAATTACAGCAAAGATTTGTATGGTTGCACATATTTTAAAATTAGATAAATAAATTTGTTGTTTACTTTTTTCAGTAACCACACTCATTGAAATATAACATACACGTGGAGGAATTCACAAATCCTAACTGTGAAGCTTGATTTGTTTATTTATTTTTAACATCATAAATATGCCAGTACAGCCACTATAAAGATTAAGAAATACAACAATTCCAGTGACCTACAAACATCCTTCATGTCTCTTCTCAGTCTTTATGACTCACAAAAGTAACCACTTTTTGACTTTAATCATTACAGATTGATGTAACTATGTTTCAACTTATATATTAAATAATAAAGCATGTGCTTTGTTGTAACTGGCTTCAACATTATGTCTGCAAAGGTTATTCTTGTTGTTCTGAAGCAATCTTTTGTTCTTCCCATTGCTTTATGGCTGTACTATAAGTTATTCACTTTACGTTCCGTTATTTTGACTCCGCATACAAGTAGGAAAACACCCTTTGTTACAATCTTTTCTGATATGCACTCTTCATATATTTCCTCTCTTTTGAACATTTTATCTAAATTTCCAACAGGAAGCTAAACTTTTGGACTCATAGATTCAAATGAAAAGGAAGTGAACAGAGTTAGGTTAAAATTAAAGTGGAGCTTCCTGAGATAAGAAAAGACAATGAGGAAACTAAAAATGCAATAGCACAATTGAATTATGCATTAACATAATCAAAAGAATAAGAAAGAGCTTTGCAAGCATCTGGGAAGTTAAAAATACCTGTGAATTAAGCACTTTCAGGTTAGATTACAACTTCATTTTTAATACAAACATTTAAGAGACCATACAAAATATCTACAGAATTTTAAGAAAAACAAATTGGGGTGAAATAATTCTACACCAAAGCCTTAATGATTTATGTTCAAAAGCAACAGAAAGACTTTCTCAGGTTTGGAAGGGCTTAGGAATTATTTCATTCTAAATATAATTATAAAAATCCCTCAAGAAAGATTATGAGTTGCTGCATGATTAATCAGATTAATCAGAACATATACTTTAAGGTTGAGAAAATTGTAATGTAAAATAATATGCTTTGGAAAAGCAAATAATAAAATATATATTTAATATTAAATAGTGAAAATATTGTTAAAAGCAAAAAAGAATTGCTAAGAATAATTTTTTAAGATGTGCATAATATAAAATGCAAAAACTAAAATAATTATTTATATTTAAAACCACAATTTATATGATAGAAAAACTGATAGGGAGGGATGGGAGAAAGGAAAATATGCTAATTTCTTAAACCTATGCGCAAAAAGACTCAATAAATATTTTATTTAGATGTGACTAGAGAAATTAGTCACAGCCATATATATCCAAACACACATTTCAAACATATTTCTGAATAATAATCATCAATAGAATAAAAAACAGCATATCCACTCCAAATGATCAGAAGATTTTTAAAAAGTAAATATAGTATAGAGAACAAAAGAAACAAAGAAAAATGTGAGCAAGCTTACAAGATAAAATAGGTTAAAGTAAACCGAGTAAAGCAAATATTTATGCAAATAAATCTAAATGGGGTTTACGTTCTACTAGAGACAGTCTCATATTCACAAACGAAAAAAATTCAATCACGTATAAATATAGTGACATAGAAAGGCTAGCATCACTTTTGTTTAGCACTATGTTTTAGAACTTAACCAATGCAATAAAATTTAAAAAGATGCAGATTTGATTGTCTAACTGAAAACACAACAGAATAAATTGAAGAAGTTATGACCAACAAAATAGTCTTCATGGTGTTTAGTTCCAAATGAAATATAATAGAGAGTCTTTTAACTAATATTCACTTAACTGATGTATCTGATGAGTCAATACTCCTCATTTTCTCTGTACAACATACTGTATGCTAAACCTGACACTCTGAACACAGGAGATCTGAGCTTGCTCTCCACAATATATAAACATTCCTACACCCCAAAATTGACTTGCATGTACATAAATTGGTTGAATTTTGCACACCCTGCTTCTATCATGTGGATTTATTTTTGTACTTTTATTAAATATTACAAAATCAAATAAAGTGTTATTGTGAATATATTTAATGAAAATTAATTAAATGCTTGAGAAATATTTGATAATTACAAGTTGCTAATAGTTGCTGTGGAATAAGGTGTGAGCCAGACCATTATAATAGGGTAGGAGGGAAAGTAATAACATTTTGAATAATTTTACATTCATATTTGATATGAGTCTAATTCTCACTTTATGTTAAAAAAGCTAAAACTGGAATTAATACATGATCCAGACAAGAAAGCTTTTGACTTAAGGTAATACAAACTCAGTGTAAGGCTCTTGACTCTATATCAAAAGGTTGATGCATAAATGTCCATTTGTATGATTTAAGTCAAAGTAAAATCATTAAGGTAATTATGTCATTTAGGATTTGAATCACAGGGTATTCTTCCTTTGTTTTTTAAAACCAATGGTACTGTTAGAAAATGTCCTCTCCCAAAACAACCAAAATTAATGAATGAATAAATGGCAAATAACACACCAGTGATGAAACAATAAATAACAAGTAGGATGATTTGAAGAAAACTACTAAACTTTGCACATACATGCCTGGGTGGAAAAACTCAATATTTTGACATTAATTGACTCTGAAATAATGTATGGATTCCATGCAAATCCTATCAAAATCCCTAGAAAAGCAAAAAGTAAAAATACAAAAAAAGGCCGGGCGCGGTGGCTCAAGCCTGTAATCCCAGCACTTTGGGAGGCCGAGATGGGCGGATCACGAGGTCAGGAGTTCGAGACCATCCTGGCTAACACGGTGAAACCCCGTCTCTACTAAAAAATACAAAAAACTAGCCGGGCGAGGTGGCGGGCGCCTGTAGTCCCGGCTACTCAGGAGGCTGAGGCAGGAGAATGGCGTAAAAACCCGGGAGGCAGAGCTTGCAGTGAGCTGAGATCCGGCCACTGCACTCCAGCCTGGGCGACACAGCGAGACTCCGTCTCAAAAAAAAAAAAAAAAAAAAAAAAAAAATACAAAAACAGTTGAAAAGACTGAAACAACAGAGTGAAACTTGTATCACATGACATTAAGATGTGTAACCAAGAATTAAATTATAAAATATGTTATATATTATCATATCATAAATCAAAGTGGTACTTGTAGAGCACTAGAGATCCTGAATAATTGAATAGGAAAACTCACTAATAATGGCTAGCTGTTCTATTGCACTTCCTGTGTCAGGCATCATTCTGTGCACTTTACATTTGTTAACTCATTTCATAATGGCCCTCTATAAAAGGGCTTTTATAACTATTTTACAGATGAAGAAGTTGATGCACAGAGAGGTTAACTACCTTGCCCAAGATCACACAGATAGTAGGTGTTGGAATGGGAATTTAAACATAAGCAGACTGGCTCCAGGGTCTCTTGCCTTCATCACTTTATTATTATATATTGTTGCTATCTACTATGTGCATAAGTTTCATTATCTGTAAAATGGACCTGAAAATACACTTATCTACCTTCTCAGGTTGTTGTGAGACTTGAACAAATTATTCTGTGAAAGTACTTAGAACAGTCCCAGGACAAAGTACTCATTCAATGGGAAGTATATTAAATATTTTTACTATTTCAAATCAATTAGAAAGGATCAGTTTCCTAATATGGCATTAGGACAATGAGGGAATCATTTTGGAAGTTAACTCCCTAATGCATAGACATTATGGATCCTCACAGAAAATTTATGAAAATTAAATGTTTTGCCGGACGCGGTGGCTCATGCCTGTAATCCCAGCACTTTGGGAGGCTGCGGCGGGCAGATCACAAGGTCAAGTGATCAAGACCATCCAGACCAACATTGTGAAACCCTGTCTTTACTAAAAATACAAAAATTAGCTGGGTGTGGTGGCACACACCTGTAATCCCAGCTACTTGGGAGACTGAGGCAGGAGAATCACTTGAACCTGGGAGGCGGAAGTTGCAGTGAGCCGAGATCTAGCCACTGCACTCCAGCCTGGCAACAGAGCAAGACTTTGTCTCAAAAAAAAAAAAAAGTTTCAAAATTTATTTCTAATGGGCTTGGGTTTCAAATATTTTAAAAAGTAAAAGAAAACTAGAAGAGAGTGCAGATGAACTTTTTTCAGATTTCAGGGTAGATAAACATTTATAACCAAATGAGGAAAGGGCAGAGTCCAAAAAAGATGTTGATATTTCAACAGAATAAAAATGTTAAAGTTTTGTAGGCAAAAACATAATAAGCAAATTGAATAGCAAGTGACAATTCAGATAAAAAAACCTATCCGAAAAACAAATAATGGAAATTCAAAAAAGAAACATGCAAAAGCAAACAAATATACAAATTAAGTTTTGTTAGTATTCAAATAAATATAAAATTAAACAAAATGGAATACTGTTTTCTGTTTATTAAATAATAGCAATGGAAAAATGATAATTCCTTGTGTTGTTAAAGTTGCAAGGAGAGATGTATTCCCAAATATGCTGGTGAAAGTATAAACTGCTATAAAAATTTGTGAAATACAATTCGGTAACATAGTGAAAACTTGAAAAAATGCATACACTTTGATTCAGCAATATTGCTTTTACAAATTTATTCTTAAAAACTAAACATGAGCATAAAACTATTGACAAGAATGTTTGTCACCATTTTCATTACAATGGTAAAAAATCATATCAACCTAAATATCAATAATGGGAGAATGCTTAAATTAATTATAGTCTATTAATTTTGTGGAACAGTGTGTAATTGTTTAAAAATGACATTGCGGAAAAATAAAGCAGATTGGGAAAAAAGCAGATTATAAAACAGCATTATATCATGGTTTAATTAAAAACAATTATATCTATTCATAAAAAATAGAACATACTTCAAAATATTAACAATGGGTATTGCTAGGTGGGTGGGATAGTGGATTTTTTTGCTTATGGCTTTCTGTTTTCACAAATTTTATAATGAACATACACAATTTTGCAATCCTATAATAAATTAAAACTCTACTTTTATCCTTTGGTATCTGAACTAGTGTCGGGAAGGAAGGATGGTAGTGTCAGTCATATGGATTTTGTAGTTAGATATGGGTGTGAAACCCAGTTTCTTCACTTACTAATTTAATTTTTGCATTGACCACATTATTTGATGAGCCTTGGTTCCCTAATATATAATTGAGGATATGAATATCGATCCTTATAAAAAAATTTATGAAGATTAAATGTTTCAAATATGTAATATTTCTGAGACATAGTTTCAATGAATGTACCTGCACTTCTGCCTCTTTTCTTGTAGTGATGTGTTTCTCTTGGGTATTTATTTACTCTTCAGTTCTTATCTTTTCCAGAGTGGAGAGTGAGGCTCCTCCTAGATCTCACAGTTGCTCTGCTAGAGCTTAAATAAGAAGAAGAGTAAGACAGAAAAGAAAGAAGAACAAAATGGAAGTGAGATTTCAGTAGAAAAGTTGTAATTATATATTGTCAAAACTAAATAAGAGGCCGGCGTGGTGGCTCACGCCTGTAATCCCAGCACATTGGGAGGCTGAGGTGGGCAGATCAGGAGGTCAGGAGATGGAGACCAGCCTGGTCAACATGGTGAAACCCCATCTCTACTAAAATACAAAAAATTAGCTGGGCATGGTGGTGCCTGTAGTCCTAGCTACTTGCGAAGCTGAGGCAGGGGAATCGCTTGAACCCGGGAGGCTGAGGTTGCAGTGAGCCAAGATCGCACCACTGCACTCAGCCTGGCAATAGAGTGAGACTCCCTCTAAAAAACAACCAAACCAAACAACAACAAAAAAAACCCGAAACCAAATAATATAATTTTTAATCCAGAAAGGCATTTAAAAATGATTCTATCTTACTAAAACATGAACATCAAATGATCAATATTGTACCGAAATGGGAGCAGCCAATATTTGGTGCAAAACATAAGCCATTGATAAAGCAAAACATGTAGCATTGGTAGAGCTCAATGTCTACTAAAATATCACAGTGGAGTGATTGCAAGGAAAAATCAGCACACATGTTCAATGTGAGGCTATAATCTATTAAAAACCAAACACATAAGAATTTATACTTACAAATTAGTGTTTTCCTTTCCAGTGGTCACTTTCAAAGGTTTTGGACTTTAATGATTTTACCTTCAAACCATTTCTGGAGCTCCTTTGGGAATTATTTTCAAAGGCTGTATATATTTTCTTGAATATTATCAGGTGTGACATATATTCACACTTGGATGACACATTTGCTTTTTTTCTTAATAGCAGGACATTTGATATGCAGTGAGATGAAATACAGTGAAGTAACTGGGTAGTTATATTCTGCAGTCTGGAGTTTGATCAAAATAGAAATTGGTGAGAAGCTAATGTTATTGTGTGGTAGAAACACACATTTCCTTCCAGCTTTTCATGAGATGTAATAATAAGTATTATCATTATTTTTAGGTTAATCATTCCAGATGTGTGATACAATCTTTGTATACATTTCCATCTTATTGAAGTATTTAACTAGAATTAATTGATTCTGTCATGCAATTTCAACTCTCTTGGCCATTCATCTTGAAGTAACCTGTCCATTGGCATGAATGGAATATATGACATTTTTATTTATTTCAACATTTTTATCTGGCGAATGGGTGAGGGGTTGGTGGCACCTGAAAGTTCTTAATAGAAATATTTCCTGGACCCATTCTTTATTTCATTTCGGATCTCTGTGCATATATACTACATTTTCTTTATCTATTCATCTGTTGATGGACCCAGGGGTTAATTCCATTTCTTGGATACTGTGAATAATGCCGCAATGAACACAGGAGTACAGATATCTTTTGGAATTCTGATTTCATTTCCTTTGGATATATACCCAGTAGTGGAATTGCTGGATCATATGGTAGTTCTATTTTAATATTTTGAGGAATCTGTATACTATTTTGCATTTGTCAAATTAAAAAATCATAAAAGAACTCTGTGCAAATATATTTGTCTTCTAGATCTGCATCACCTTATCGTATGACATGAGGCATTCAAAATTTTATCACCTAAAAGTCCATGCAAATATATAAGCACTATTTATTATTCTCATTATTCTGTTACCCTCCCCAAAGTCATCAGAGAACTTTTCAACCTTGCCATCCTCACCATTCACAGAATTCACTGATTTCTGGGTGCCCTTATTGCTTCCCTGGCAGCTTAGGCTTAAAACAATGAACTCCTGCCAATGCCTGTTTGATAAAAATTTCAATCAGGGTTATATTTGGGCTCCATAAAGTCAAGGATATCTGTCTTGTTTACCACTGTATCCTCATCATATTTGAACTAATTTGAAGTTAAATCTCATATCTTTTAAACTTTCTTTCAAAGCCAATATTCAGTGGCTCCTTCTATAACCCAGATAGGCTATTTAATTGCTTTAGCTCCACACAAATTGGGACCTTTCTCAGTCCAGTCTTTATATTTTTGTTTACTACATGCAACAAAGAAGAACCTAGGTGGGATGGATTCAGTTGATAAACAGGCGGTGGGAAGCACAGCAGTTAAGCGATTGATATACTCGTTGAACCAATATGTTTGATAATATTGAGAAACTCATGTAGGTAGCAGTTATCTCTCAGTGACTGATGGGCAGTATTGTAATTTGTAATCTATGTGTGCTACTAATACATAAATATTTACATATAAAAATGAAGCACTTTTGAAAATGTCAGTGAGCCATGGAACCACCGAAAAGCCCAGTCAAATGTGTTAAATGCATGCTCAATTAGAAAAAATATATAAAATAGAAACTGTACATCTTTAAGGGAACTCAAGTCACACATAATTCTATCCCCTTAGGTCTTTCATGCAAAAACTCAGGCTCACCAAGATTAAGCCTTGTCCAGAAGCATGTGGCTATGTATAGGCATACCTGAGGCCAGATTTCAGATTCTATTGCATTAGTTAGCAGAGAGAAGAGCACATAGATGTGCCTTCAATATATCCTTTTCATCTACATCGAACTTAGTTAAAAGTATGCAGACAGCTATGCAGAAAGGGCACATTAGTATGATTCTGACTGCGTAGCGGAAACACATGCCCAAGCTTAGTCTAGTGCTATGCACACAAGTAAGGGAGACAATGCCATTTGTAGAATAATTTAATAACTCCTCAATATTTTTCTTACCCAGGTTGTTTTCTCTAACGGCACTCACCGCTGGGCCATTCCTAGTTAATCACACATTTAGGAGACATTTGATCTCTCAACAAGAATGTGAGTCCTGGATTTGTCATTTACCGGTTTTAGAACTATGGACAAAATTATGAATCTCCATGAATCTCAGGTTTATACTGACAGAGAGTATAATATAGTTACCCTACAGTGTTATTGTGAGGATTAACAGTAAAGCTCATTAAGTGCACTGCCCGATTTCTAGTAGGTATTCTTTTATCATTCTCCTTATTGCACTCACAGCCCTATGTTTATTAACCAATTTTCAGTTTCTTGCCATGATCTCTCTTGCTCGAGGACTCTGCATCATCTACCCCCTTCACCTTGGACCTTGTTCTCTTCCATGTTTCTACTCTTCCTTCGGAGCTCAGTTCAAGTGCCACCTTTCCCTGATCTTCATCTTTCGCCATCTCAGTGACAGGTGCTTCTTCTATGAACTTCCAGAAAACCCTCTCCTCATCTTGACTCTATGGCCACAGTACCTTATTAATAAATTAACCAAGCAGGCAAATATTGAGTATCTGTTAGGAACTCAAGTCTTGGGCTCAGCTATGTGGAAGGATTTAAGAGAATTATGAGGCATGATTACCAATTTCAGCTTTGTAAGAGAACACAATGCGTAAGACAATTTAAACATTCTCTGAGGAGCTCATTTCTAAATTGTGTTCCTTAGAATGTAAATTTTTCATGATGCCCCAGAAATAAAAGTTTCTGTGTCAAATCTGAAAACATTCACACTTTTTCTCAGATATTAGCAATGCAATTAGCACAACGTTTTGTGAAGTCCTGATGGAAAGCAACCAGCCTACTTTTACCTGAAGAAATTCCCAGCTCCATTTCACCATAGAATACATTTTTTTTCACATAACACCAGGAAGCTGTTTATGATTTAATGATGTTGCTTGAAAAAAAAGAGTTCCATGCCGTGTTCTTTAGGATTGTCCCACAGAAAGAACACTGATAGAAAAGGAAAAGACTTGAATTCCATCCTTGCTTTACATTTATTAGGCATGCGATGCTGGGAAATTCAACCATTTCTCAGAGTTCCCTTTCCTGTATCTTTAAAAGTGGATAGTAACCCTTACTCTGATAATTCATTTGTTGTCCACAAAAATTCAATATTGATGTATATCAACCAGTTATAAAGCATTATAAAATTTGTTTTTATTATTTTTAGAAAAAAAGTCAAAATCATACTAATAAAAAGGTATTTTAAGGCGTTTCCTTACCACTTTGAAATTTGCTTCATTCCATCAGCCACCTAAGCAAATTCACTTATGAGCTGGTTAACATTTTGCTGAGATGCTAAGAATTCCTGCAATAGATGATGAGAGGAGCTCTCCTGGAGAGATTCTATCTTCTTACAGGGAATGATGGAGTGAGGGTCCATGAGTTTCATGTTGTGCAGCATTTCCTGGAAATGACAAGCAGACAGTATATGATACCCTCATAGTATTTAGATGACAATGGGGAAGTTTCCTTTGTATGCTGATATTCAGAAGAAGAATCACATCTTAGAAATTTGGGTTAAGGATGGAGTAGGGTGAGAAGGACCTCCTTTGGAAGAATGATACTATGGAATAATCACACTTTGAGTCCTGAGTGAGAAGTCCTGTATCTTCTCAATGATAGAAAATGGATTCTGATAGATTTACTCAGAGTCCAGTCTTGCCGAATTTAGTCAGATTATTTACTATCCTTTATGAAATCTCTTTAAAGTTAATGGATCTCCAAAGAGGTAGAATTTCCCCAGGGGTTCCTCTTAAACTGAACCCAACTAGAGAAAATGTTTGAAAAAATTTCAGTCAACTAAGGCAAGGTTTCCAGGCAGCTCTTTTCTGTGGTCACTGTAGAAAATTGTTGTCTAGGGATTTCAAGTGAGTATTCTCATTCCTTTCCCGTATCCAACAGAGACTTACTGATGTTGCATTCGAGAAAAATTTTACCAGTGAGTTGTTGAAGGCTGACATTCATTGCAACTTGAGCTCATGAAATGTGTAATGAACTAACTTAACAGCAGGGTAGGCATCTGGAGGTCTAGGGTCTAGTCATGGCTCTGCCATTAGTAACTGTTGACCTCAGGCAAGTAGGAAAGCTCTTTTATGGGCTTTTTCATTTGTGATATGAAATTTGGTATTACATGGACTCCATGGGTCTTTCTATCTCTAATATTCTATGAACTATGCATTTTATTCCAGTTTTAAATTGGTATATAATTATATATATTCAGAGAGTACATGTGATATTTTGATGCATGTACACAATGTGTAATGATCAAGTCAGGGTAATTAGGATATTCATTGCCTCAAGTGTTTATCATTTCTTAGTGCTGGGAAATATTTCAAATCTTCTCTTTTAGCTATTTTGAAATATAAAATAAATACTTGTTAACTATAGTAATTCTACTGTGCTTTCAAACCCCATGACTTATTCCTTCTCACTAGCCGTATTTTTGTACCTGTTAATGAACCTCTTTTCATTGCCCCCTCCCTCATATTCTTCCTTGTTTCTGGTAATCATCATTCTACTCTCTATCTTCATGAGATCGGCTTTTTTAGTTTTACAAATAAGTGAGAACGTGGGATTTTTGTGTGTGTGTGCCTGGCTTATTTCACTTAACACAATAACCTCCATAGTTCCATCCATATTGCTGCAAATGACACGATTTCATTCCTCTTCTCATAGTTGAACAGTACCCCATTGTGTATATGTGTCACATTTTCTTTACATATTTATACGTTAATGAACACTTAAGTTGAATCCATATCTTGGCTATCGTGAATAGTGCTGCAATAAACATGGGAATGCAGATATGTCTTTGATATACTTTTTTTTTTTTTTTTTTTGGTGTGCACCCAGCAGTGGGATTTCTGGATTATATGGTAGTTCTATTTTTACTTTTTTGAGGAACTTCCACTTTGGCTGTACTAATCTACATTTCTACCAATGGTTTACTAGCGTTCCCCTTTCCCCCATCCTTGCCAGCATCTGTTATATTTTCTTTTTGATAACAGCCATTTTAATTGGGGTGAGATAATATCTCATTGCGGTTTTGATTTGCATTTCCCCTATGATTAGTGCTGTTCAGCATTTTTGCATATACTTGTTGGCCATTAGTATATTTTTTTCTGAGAAATGTCTATTCAGATCATTTGGCCATTGTTTCATTGGATTATATGTTTTCTTGCTATTGAGTTGTTAAAGTTGCTTATATATATTCTGGTTATTAATCCCTTGTCAGATGTATAGTTTGCAAATGTTTTCTTGCATTCTGGTACTCTATTGAGTTGATTGTCTTTTTTTGTCATGCAGAAGCTTTTTAGCTTGATGTAATCTCATCTGTTTTTGCTTTATCTGTGCTTTTGAGGTCTCCATAAAATCTTTACCCAGAACAATGTTGTGAAGCATTTCTCCAATGTTTTCTTCTAGTAGTTTCAAAGTTTCAGGTCTTGCATTAAGTATTTAATCCATTTTGATTTAATTTTTGAAAATGATGAGAGATACAGTCCTAGTTTCATTATTTTGAATATGGAAATACAGTTTTCTTAGCACCATTTATTGAAAGGGCATCCTTTCCCCAGTGTAGGATCTTGACATCTTTGTTAAAAACAAGTTGGATGTAAATGTATAGATTTATTTCTGGATTTTCTATTCTGCTCCACTGGTCTATGTGTTTGTTTTTATGTCAATCTCATCCTGTTTTGAACATTATAGTTTTGTAGTATATTGTGACGTCAGGTAATGTGATGGCACCAACATTGTTCTTTTTGCTCAGGATTACTTTGGCTCTTCAGGGCCTTTATTGCCTCCATACACATTTAAGATTTATTTTTCTATTTCTGTGAAGAATGTCATTGGTATTTTGATGGGGATTATACTGAATCTGTAAATCATTTTGGGCAGTATGGGCATTTGACAATATTAATCTTCCCATCCATTAGCATGAGATAGGTTTCCATTTTTTGTTTCCTCTTCAATTTCCTTCATCAGTGTATTTAGTTTTTTTAAAAGTGAATATATAATTTATTTAACATTCAAACTTCATGAAGACATGGGCAATATGGCAATTTTACTGGGGATTAAGCCCAACCTAGGATGACTGTTTGCTGGGGATTAGAAGCAGAGTCCAGTTCACACTTGGCACTAATTAAATGCTTTATTGAATAAATGCAATACCAGATAAAATGAATTCAAATGCTTTCTAAAAAGTCAATTTTAAAGGCCTTTCAGGCTAATGACAAACACAATAAAGGCAGATATGCTAGTTTAACATAATTTACTGATTTTGAACAACACTTATATCTTTTAGTCTGCAAGTATATTATTAAATGATAGAGAACATTTAATGCAATCATTTCTGCAGAACTAGGAAATAAGTTTCTAAGAAAGAAAGTTTTTACAGACACCATCTTTTATACCCACCCTAATAGTCTAATTCTAAAAAAGATAAAGCCAATGACTCCTCACAAGAGCTCATGATTAATGTCACCTTGCTATAAAAATCTGTGTTTCTGATCCATTATGAGCATTGAGATAAGACTCAAATATTCTCAAAGAAAGAAGCACAATGCATGTTGTGGTTGCCTACTCAGCAACAGTGAGCACTGCATCCCAAACTCTCTCATCCCAGGAATTAAATAAGGTTAGTCACATTCATGGGAATTTCTTCCACTGTATTACTGTAGAAAGCCTCAATGTCATAAAGAATTATTTTGTCTTCTTCAGTAACAAAGTTTATAGCCACACCTCTGCCAATTCTGTGAATATAGTTTTCATGATTGGTCGTTACATCATAGTTTATAACCAAAGACATGTGTTGCACATCAGTCTCATGAACTAACAAGTCAGTAGTGATCAGAACACCACTTGACTCTGATCAGAATTCCCTCATGATAACATCTGTCTCCTTCTGATCCATGTCACCGCAGAAATTAGGAAGTCTCTGGCATGCATTTTCTCAATCAGCCAGTCCACCTTGTGCCTTGCATTGGGAAAAATGACAGCCTGCATAATAGTCAGTGTCTCGTACAAGTCACAAAGTGTAGTCAAACTCCATTCCTCTCTTTCAACATTAATGTAAAACTGTTTGATTCCTTCTTCCTTTTTCACCAGAATTTAAATTGGATGTCTCATGAATTTTTTATCACTTCCAACACATCAGTTGGCATTGTGGCAGAAAGCAACACAACCTGAATACTTCTATTTAATTTTTGGAAAATCTCATAGATTTCATCCTTAAAGCCTCAGCTCAACATTTTATCTGCATCATCCAAAACAAACATTTTGATCCATCTTGGAGAAAAATATCTTACGTTTAGCATATCAAACACTCTTCATGGTGTACTAGCAACAGTATGTGGTGCTTCTGCCTGCAGTTTTTGCATTTTATTTCGAACCTTTGTTCCACCAATGCAGGCATGACAAGTTGCTCCCATATAGTCTCCAAGTGCCAGAATTACATTTTGGATCTTTAATACAGGGAACAATAGCTCTGGGCTGAATAGCTGAAGGCTTCTCAAAACCATGAACATGGATTCCCCCCAAAAGAGACTCCTTTAAATTCATACTATCAAAGTTATCAACAATCTCATTTTAGTTGCTGTTGATGATACCATTGGGTCCATTTCCTTTGGGCCACCATGTTTTCTGTTATAATCCACGGAGTCACTAGACATGATACAAAGAACCACTCAGACTGACTGAAAAGCGTTTTATATTTTTTATTATAAGATCTTTCACTTCTTTGGTTAAGTTTATTCTTAGGTATTTTTTTAAAGGTAGCTACCGTATATGGAATTACTTTCTTGACTTCTTTTTCAGAGTGTTTGCTATTGATGAATAGAAATATTACTGATTTTTGTGTGCTAATTTTGCAGCCTGCAAATTTACTGAATTCATTTATCAGTTCGAATAGTTTTTTGGTGGAATCCTTAGTTTTTTCCAAATATAAGATAAGGTCATCTTCAAATAAGGATAATCTGAATTCCTCCTTTCCAATTTGGATGCCCCTTATTTCATCCTTTTGCCTAATTGCTTCGGCTAGGACTTCCAGTATTACTTTGAAGAGGAGTGGTGAAAGCAGGCATTTTTGTCTTACTCCAGACGTTAGAGGAAAAGCTTTGTTTCTGCTTGTTCAGTATGATATTAGCATGGGTTTGTCTTATATAACCTTCACTGTTTTGAGGTATGTTCCTTCTACACTTAGGTTGTTTAGTATTTTTATCACGAACGGATGTTGAATTTTGTCAAATGCTTTTTCATTGTTTGTTGAAATAATCTTATGGTTTTGTTCTTGATTCTGTTAATGTGATGTATCACATTTATGAATTTGTGTAGGTTGAACTATCTTTGCATTCCTGGGATGATTCTCACTTGATTATAGTAAATGATCTTAGTGTGTTCTTGAATTCAGTT